AGGCTTTAAAAAGATCGGTATCGGTGATCGGTATCGGCAGATACTGCTTTCTGTGATCGGCCTCAAAAATCCTGATCGGAGCACCCCTACCTATGTCACTTATGTATTAGCAGTAACTCTCTTTTAGCTACTGTTTTCAAATGTTCCTTTCTAACTTTTTTCTTTCCCTCTCTACATCCATATTAAAGGCTCATGGAGGAGACATATACGGTGGATGAGGTATCTGACATGCTGGACGGGCTACAGGTGCTGGTGCGTGGAGAAGTGGAGATGGAACTCATAAACACAGCTCACACTAATGTGCTGCTCCTGCGACAACTCTTTTCCCAGGCAGAGAAATTCTACCTAAGATTGCAAACAGACATTTCTGAGCTGGAAAACAGGTGAGGACATGAAAGATGTTAAATGGTTAAGAGTTAAAGGGTTAGTTCACCCAAAAATTAAAATTAGCCTGTGTTTTACTTACCCATATATGAACGTGGTTTTGCGCAGCTTGTCTGTGAACAACGGCTCTGTGTAGTAAATGCTGCTTCATGTGAAAGCACGCACGTGATGGAGATTTACCGCTGATTACAGAAGCGGCTTTACTGACAAGATGCGCATTAAATATTGCATGCGATTTATTGTGCAGCCCTACTGCGCAGCGCTTCGAGTGTAAGGCCTGGTTTATACTCGCAGCATCAGCAGGAGCGCGAAGGTGCTCGCAGCAAAAATTACGTGCATATTGAGGAAACGATGGATGGTTTACATGCTAAAGTAAAGTAAAAGGCCACTTCTTCTTAAACCAAAGGTGAACATGTTGGTATTCTTGTGGGGGGAAAAATGCAAACAGTAGTCGCAATTTTGCAGAAACGCCCATATATCGCAAAAAAGTTTTTACGCTCGCATGAGGTGGTTTTTCAGGCAATGCGAAAAAGGAATAAAACTGCAATGGAAACGGGTTTTTTTCCCGCATTTACAGGTCACATGGTATGGCGTAGGGCTGGGCGATATAGCTCAAAATGTATCAACGATATAATGTTTCATATCTTTCGGTATCGATAATTATTGACATTTTTTATAACCTTTGCACGTGCCTATATCGTGCGCTATATCGAACATTTTTTCTATCGTTATCGAAGAGGGTGTACCGTCGATAAATATTGATACCGTTTTATCGCCAAGGCCTAGTATGGCGTATGTAAAAAGTCATATGATCATTCTTCAATGTAGCCTACTATAACCTCCAAGAAACAGTTCATACGTGGCCACTCTCCAGTATAAGGGGCTTTCCCTACCATTAATGCTTAGACAATTTACACTGCACACGTCTGCGGTGCAGTAGTGTGGCTCTGATATGGCCACTGAAGCTGTCAATGCTTGTGTTTATTCCAGCCACGCCACGCCTCCATTGAATAAATATAGCCAAAATCCCACCAAAATCCGTTGCCATGACTTATCGCGAGAGGCTGAAAGGTTACGTTTTAGTGGCATAACATTGGTTAATGGAAACGCCGTCATTTCGCAATACTTTTTAATCGACATTTATAAAACATCTCCAAAGTTTTGCGCAAATCTGTAATGTAAACGTGCCTACTGTCACCGACAGCAAGTTTAGTTTTACTTTTCTTTTTGTTTTCATTTGCGTTATCTTTGCTGTTTACCTCACAATATGCTATGGAGGCTCTCTTTTATTTATTTTTAATTTGATTCCTCAGTGTTTGCTGAACGTTCTGTAGGGGGAGAGCGGGGCACAAAGTAACACTTTTTGACTTTCTCAGTTTGTGTAAATCCACATGGGGTTCAGAATATAATTTTTTTCTCCACAGTAATCTTACACTGGTTTAGTACAAATGTCGCTTTGTTTCATAATTACAGTGTATATGTTTTTCTTTATTTACCCTTAAAAAATGGAAGTGAAATGTGACAACATGCCCCGTAGGTGGGGTACATTGTAACATCTGAGGGGCACGTTGTAACATGACCATATAGCAGCTTAAAATGTTATCTGATCAAATGAAAAAAATATATATACAAGACAAACTAAAATATTTTGTTAATAAAATAAAATAATTATTTTTCTTCAAATAAAATAATGGCGTTTTTTAAGAATTAGAAATAATCTGATTTTGGAGTTTGACAATGAACACATTGCAACCATGCTTGGGACGGCCCACATAAACGACCAAAAATGCTTTACATGTCTTGAAATAATAATTTCTAAACATTAAACATTGACTGTCAGTCTTTATTCACCTGTTTCTCGTTGTTTCTCATTAAAATTCATTAAAGTAAATAGTGTAAATTACATCGCTAATGTCATAGAATAGCACATTGTAACGCAGTGTTACAATGTGCCCCATCTGCGCAACTGGAATTTAAAAATGGTTTGTGTCTTCTGCTAGTTATCAAAGCATTTAAAAATCGATCTGAACTGATAAATAACAGATTGGAGATTAAAATAATAGCAGATTTGTCTCATTTTAAGTGAATAATAAAAACTGAGATGAAAAATTTACTTAAGCCAGAATTTTGTGCCCCGCGCTCCCTAATTTATTAGTCTGTATATAGTACAGCATGTGGTGTATGCCATGCCTATTCTCATTCATTTATGTTAATAAACATTTTGTAAGCTTGTCATTGTATCTTACTGTTTTATTGTTGTTGTGTTTTTTAATTAAGAATAACAATGAATCCATCTTTTGTTTTAGTCTTAAAAAGTGAAAGGTATAGATGTTAGCAAAACAGACAATTATCTTTTCTTGTAAAATGTGACAAAAAGATTGCAAATTCAAAAGCGAAAGCATCTGAAGCCCGCGGCTTATAACATAGCAAAAGAGGAACTCCCGTTCA